CATTAACTGCAGAGCAAGTGAAGGAAATGGAGAAGGATCACGACTTTGTCTCTGCTCAGAAACAGAGGATTTTGTCCTTGCACACTTAGAAGCTCATAATGCGTACTTCATTAAAATTTTCTGCACAGTGTCTTTCTCTATTTGTTAATTTCTGCACTGCTGCACTTTTGGACAGCCACTTTATAGGTTAAATTTTCTGCACACAAATTGTATTTGAGTTCTTGGTAAATGCATCTCAATGATTTTCTAATTGAATTCTCTTATGTTCTGCAACTTTTGTGGATATTTCTAGATAACACTTGGTGAAGTTTTAACTACTTTTGGGGTAAGCGATCTACCGAATTCTAGTATAAAATTGATATGTATACAAATAGTTATTTATCGTTTTTTAAAATTTTGAACTTGCAGATTTTAAAAGTTGAAGTTTCAAGTCAAGATACAAGCTATAAGAAGAAATGCACAAGCTTGTTATTAATTTGCTATGAATGTTATGCAAAACTCGATAGTATACAGTCTAACTCGGATGTTGGCTAAGTTTTTTGAAGAACATATTGAAACTAACATCATTGGATGTTGACCAATTTATTATGATTAATCAAACTCTTTATAGCTATCTTCTTGTTTCTGTCTCTCTATATCTTCTTTTTGAATTGAAAGTTTTAGTAGTAATTTTGTATTTGTTGAAGAATTATTTTTATTGTGATATCAACTGATCTAGGACCATTGATGGCCAATTTAGGACCAGAAATATCTCGTCTCTAAAGAATAATCTAGGACGAGAAATGATTTTGGTCCCTATAACAAACCAAGGACCAGATCATTCTTGTCTCTAAGCATACTCAAAGACCAGGTCATCCTCATCCCAAAAGCTAATCAAGGACTCGTCTCTAACGATTAATAGGACCAAGTGTTCATAGACGCTAAAAAGATTTAACGACCAGAAAATAGACTTTACCTAGATATATATTGTCTAGTTGAGACTAGATATGTAGTCTCTAAAAGGATTTAACGACTATATTTTTTCTCGTCTCGAATACCATTTAAGGACCAGTATTTTGTTCCCATCGCGAAAGGTCTGTAGCAACGAAGGCAGTTACAACGGGTGGCGACCAACATTTTCTGGTCTGAAATTTGCTTTTGGGACCAGATTTAGATTTTCAGGGACCAAATTTCCCTTCCTTAGAGGATGTTTTTCTTGTAGTGATGCTTGGGATAAAATTTATTGGTAAATTATTAATTACTAACTTATATTTGAATAGTTGGTAAATTTATCAATTGAAGTTAAAATTTTTGGTAAAATCAGCGTATAGTGTTGAGGCTTTCATATTCAGTTTGTGTCGTTAGTCGTTTTAACGTTTAAATTTTAGCCAAAACTTGACTTTGGTCAATATTTTTGGTAAACGTGCTCAGATTAGAACTCTATCAGTGTCATTAGCTTCGAAAGGTCATTTTTGATCTAACAGGAAGGTTGGTTCAAGTTTTGAGGCTTCCGTTTTTTGTTTGTGTCGTTAGGTGTTTTAAATCTTATGTTTTGGCCAAAATTTGACTTTGGTCAATATCTTTGTGAACGTGCTCAGATGAGAATTTTGTCATCGTAATTAACTCCAAAGGTCATTTTTTTTATCTAATAGGATAGTTGGTTTGGGTTTTGAGGCTTTCATTTTTAGTGAGTACTGTTAGGTGTTTTAACTTATAAATTTTGGCCAAAATTTAACTTCGGTCAATATATTTGATAAACGTGTTCAGATGAGAATTTCGTCAGTTCAGTTAGATGTGGAAGGTCATTTTTTATGTAATAAGATAGAGGGTTCGGGTTTTGAGGCTTCCATTTTTAGTTTGTGCCGTTAGGCATTCTAACTTTTAAGTTTTGGCCAAAAATTCACTTCAGTCAATATTTTTGGTAATCGTGCTCAAATTGAAATTTTGTCACTGCAGTTAGCCATATAAGTTCAGTTTTGGTCTCATAGGATGGTTGGTTCGGGTTTTGAGACTTTTATTTTCAATTTGTGTCATTAAGTGTTTTAACTTTTGGCTAAAATTTGAATTAGGTCAATTTTTTTGGGAAACATGCTCAAATTTGAATTTCATTAGCGTGGTTAGCTCTGGAAGGTCATTTTTCGTCTATAGGATGGTTGGTTTGGATTTTGAGGTTTTCATATTCAATTTGTACCGTTAGGCGTTTTAACTTTTAACATTTGGCCAAAATTTGACTTTGCTTAACATTTTGTGTAAACGTGCTCTGATGAGAATTCCGTCAGCGTGATTAGCTTCGGAAGGCCATTTTTATATCTAATAGGATGGTTGGTTTGGATTTTGAGGTTTTCATATTCAATTTGTACCGTTAGGCGTTTTAACTTAAGTTTTGGCCAAAATTTAGATTTGTTCAATATTTTTGGTAAACGTGCTCAAATTAAATTTTTTGATATAATTATGTGTCATATTGAGATTAATTTTACTTGTTATCATAGATTTTGCATTGCTTCATTCAAATATGATTTATAAAATTGATATTAATATTTTTGGATTTATATTCGTGCTCTTAGATTTTTAAATGCAATAAATTAATAAATATTTTACTATTGGATAATCATTAAGTTTTAATATTTTGAACATATTGTCAATCAATTACAAACCTAACATTGAACTTGAATGATATATTACCAACAAACTAACAATCAATTAGTAAATTTATTAGAAAAACAAATAATCATACTAACGTATTTAAAATTTATTACCAACAAGGGTTGTGGTGGAGTGGTAATTACTGCATCATCCCTAACCTAGAGGTCTCAGGTTCGATTCCCCTTGGGTACGGGGTCGCCTTGAATGATATATTTCCAACAAACTAACAATCAATTAGTAAATTTATTAGAAAAACAAATAATCATACTAACGTATTTAAAATTTATTACCAACAAGGGTTGTGGTGGAGTGGTAATTACTGCATCATCCCTAACCTAGAGGTCTCAGGTTCGATTCCCCTTGGGTACGGGGTCGCCTTGAATGATATATTTCCAACAAACTAACAATCAATTAGTAAATTTATTAGAAAAACAAATAATCATACTAACGTATTTAAAATTAAAACAGAAATTTCAAGCCCATGTTTCAAAATTTTGTAACAACATCTTTGGGTGTTTACCACTGATTTTTGGTTGGTAAGTTTACCAACAAATTAAAATCAGTTGGTAATATTTACCGAAATTTACCAACAAATTTTTTTGTTGGTAATTGGGCTTCCTTTTGTAGTGCGTAGTAGTATCCCTTGAAACAATGCTCTAAATTTGACTTGAAGTTGTCGTCATACCACTCTAATTGGCTCCACCATCTCGGTGATCCTGTTATTAGTTTGATGTTGTTGGAGGTTTGAATAGAGAGAGGCAACTTCCTTATTCCATTGCAATACACCACCTTAAGTTCCTCCAGATGTTCCCACATACTCTGTGCCTCCCCAAAAGTTGCTAATTTTGGCAAGCTTTGCAAAGAAAACTTCCGGACCCTTGGAATTTCTGAGTTGGCAAGTGAGCCGCCGCATAGGACTAACAAGTCTACGAGCTCCTCACATTGGATAATAGCTATATCTTCCAAGTGCTTGGGTGCAGAACCAATCGCGTTAAAGACATGTTACTCTTGGACAAAAGGATATGTCTAAACGGCGTAATTTAGATAATCTTAGACCCAGAAAATGTCCGAAATCAGAAACACTCTTTAAATGATCTACAAAAATGAAGCTGAGATATTCCAGATTTGGAAGAGGGTCAATCTGTCCACTAATTCCTTCTTCCACTGCTCCAAGAAGACGACATGTTCAAGAAAATAATTGACATTTTCATCGCTAGACTAGGGAAGTGGTACTGTGGATTGTCTGTCCATCAATTGGTTTCCAAATTTGATGACAAACTTTCTACATTGTACTTCAACACAGTTGATGATCCAAATTTGAACTGTCAAGCCAGTTAGCATCACAATCTGTATTGTCTTGTGTATATGTGTAATCTATAGGTTATGGATTCTGTAAATATACTTAAAAATTATTCAAAAGAACTTGTTACAGGGAGGTAACTGTCATATGATTTTCTTTATTTATAATTTGTATGTTAGGTTTCTGTATCGGATGTTTGCACCAAACCAAAAAATGCAACACACAAGTGACTCTCATTCACATTATTATTATTATTTTCAGTATAATTTTTAACTGCCAAGTTTAAATGTTTTGTTTTGGTGTAAACGCTGGATGCAAAAAAATACTTTTCACTCTAAAACTGAAACCTGAAAGTCATTTTTCAGGAAAATGACTTATGCCATACCAAATAAACCAGAATTTGGAGCATTTCGAACACCTAAAATCCAACTACAACTAGACAGCAGGCCGACGTAACAAGCTAGAATAGTCCTAAGTTAGTGAAAATTCAACTTTTGAGTTGAGAATTTTTTATATGGTTGACTTTGGTTAACATTATGAGTTTTGAGCGTCGTATGGGAATTCCATCAATTATACTGAGTCTAGAACGTATTTAAAATTTATAACCAACAAACTAAAATAATCATACTAACGTATTTAAAATTTATTACCAACAAGGGTTGTGGTGGAGTGGTAATTACTGCATCATCCCTAACCTAGAGGTCTCAGGTTCGATTCCCCTTGGATACGGAGTTGCCTTTGTTAGGGAGTGCTTCACTCCCCAATGTGGGATTTCCCGGCATATTGCCAACCAATTACCAATGTATCTGGAAAAGTTTACTATCAGACATTTGTTACTATAATTACCAACGTATTACCAATGGAATCAACTAATGAAGAAAAAAATTTACTAACTGGTACTAACTATATACTAACCGAAAATTAGTTGGTGAATTTACCAACGGAAATTTAAGCTCATGTTTCAAAATTTTGTAACAACATCTTTGGGTGTTTACCAACTGATTTCTGGTTGGTAAGTTTACCAACAAATTAAAATCAGTTGATAATATTTACCGAAATTTACCAACGAATTTTTTTGTTGGTAATTGTGCTTCCTTTTGTTGTGCGTAGTAGTATCCCTTGAAACAATGCTCTAAATTTGACTTGAAGTTGTCGTCATACCACTCTAATTGGCTCCACCATCTCGGTGATCCTGTTATTAGTTTGATTTTGTTGGAGGTTTGAATAGAGAGAGGCAACTTCCTTATTCCATCTCAATATAACACCTTTAGTTTCATTCAAATATGATTTATAAAATTCATGCTCAAAAAGGACAAATATAATTTTTGCACACCCTAGGTAAAATCTAGAAAGAGGGATAAGTGGATAATGGGGTATTTTTTTATTTTCACTTACCAGATGAAAGTCAATTTTCTCTAATTTTGAAGATTTGCATGATTGGCACCATTCATTTTTCTAAAATATTGATATTTTTAATAATTATTTTAAAGTGTAGATGCTTTTAATAATTATGTTAGAAATTGTGACTAGTTAGGTAATTTTATTTATGAAAGGGAAAAAAGTTGCTAACCCATCTTACCTCCATTCGAAGCATCCCTTGAAACAATGCTCTAAATTTGACTTGAAGTTGTCGTCATCCCACTCTAATTGGCTCCACCATTGTGATTCTCCTTTTATTAGTTTGATGTTGTTGGAGGTTTGAATAGAGAGAGGCAACTTCCTTATTCCATTGCAATACACCACCTCAAGTTCCTCAAGATGTTCCCACATACTCTGTGCCTCCCCAAAAGTTGCTAATTTCGGCAAGCTTTGCAAAGATAACTTCCGGACCCTTGGAATTTCTGAGTTGGCCAGTGAGCCGCCGCATAGCACTAACAAGTCTACGAGCTCCTCACATTGGTTAATAGCTATATCTTCCAAGTGCTTGGGTGCAGAACCAACCGCGTTAAAAAGACATGTTAATCTTGGACAAAAGGATATGTGCAAATGGCGTAATTTAGAAAATCTTAGGCCCAGAAAATGACCGAAATCAGAAACACTCTTTAAATGATCTACAAAAATGAAGCTGAGATATTCCAGATTTGGAAGAGGGTCAATCTGTCCACTAATTCCTTCTTCCACTGCTCCAAAATTACAACAACACTGGAAAATGCGTAGTGATTTTAATCCATTAAAAGTACTCTTCGTGTTCACAATCAACTTACTAAGACCCATGCAATCTACCAAGTGCAAATCTGAAGCAAACTGCAACATGCCTGAGAGCTCTCCGTTACTGAAAGTTTCACAATGGGAGACAATTATCATCTTTGTTGACTTGTTGATTGATATTGCATTTGAAGTATCCCCAACTTCAATACAAAATCGTTTCAATCTTTCCATCCAGGTGTGGTCTCTATTGAAAATTGATGAGCTATCCACACTAATAAAAAGAGACGTCACATTGTGTAGAGATGATAGCTCATCAAAAGAAGTTGCTCCAAGACAGCTACCCTTCATATCTACTATTTCAATGCTAGAAAATTTGATGAAAAATCCTTTGCCGATGCTTCTCCTCAAATCATGTGTAGGCATATTTAAAAGCCTCAGATTTGTCAACTTGTCCATTCCTTCCAGCAGGCAACGTAACCATGTCTTATCACAATCAAGCACTTGCAAATTGCAAAGATTACCAATAGATGGTAACTCTTTCAACATGCGGCAATTTTGTCGTATTAGAGCATGTAGTTGATGTAACTCGTTGATGGAACAAGGCAGTGCTCTAATACCAGTATAACTCAGGTTCAGAACTCTTAGAACTGGAAATGACAAAAAGAATTTATCGGGAATTTTCACAAGGGATTTATTGTCTTGCAAAAGTAAAGATGTTGTCTTTGAACATACCGTGAAGCAATCAGGTAGATATTCAATTTTGTTGCTTGCGAAAGATATTCTCTTGACAGAAGCTGACACTTTAGTAGTATGTGATATCTCTGTCAACCCAATTCCAGCTTGAAAAACAGAAATGTGTTCATCCAGATTAGAGGAATTAGCTATCCATTTAGCAACATCATGAACCACATCATGCATCTTCACACAATTCATCTCATGGGCTTCTAGCAAGCAGGCATTTTTTAGACTCCCAATTATTGTGATTCCCCTGTTATAAGCTTTTTCGTATGTGTCGAATTCACCAAGGAACCCCTCTGCCCACCAGCAATGTATGAGATCATCTATGGGAATAACCAAAGGATACAAGGAGCAATACAAGAAACAACTTTTAATGTCACCTCTCCTTTTGCTTCCAGTATCCAGAGATTCTAAACAATCAAAGCTCAACTTGATTACCTTGTAAACCTCATCTATTACATCTTTGTCATAAGGTTCAGATATTCTAAGTGAATCCAAAGCATCTACCCATTCCTCGACCCTGTTCTTCCCGCTCATACATGCCCCAATAACAGTTATTGCTAAAGGTAAACCGCCACACTCTCTTGCAATATCCCTTGCAATTGGTTGAATATTCTACCGATTGACAACATCTCCCACAGTTTTGATAAACAATTGCCAAGATTCATCTGCCTTCAATGTGGAAATAGTCATTTTGGTGTCTGTTTTCATTCTCTTACAAACATCCCCAAAACAAGAAGTTATAATAACCTTGCTTCCTGTGTGAGCTTGGGGTTGGGGCACACCTATATCATCCAAATTTATAGCTTCCCAAACATCATCTAGTATGACAAGGAAACTTTTTTCTTGCTTGAGCCTTTCCAAGATTTTGCTGGCAATGCTTACTTCACTTCCCTCGTTATCTACCTTCAGGTTTAATCTGCTCACAATTTGTGCTTGAATTTTTTTAATGTAACCCATACCACAACACCAAAAGACAGTTTAGAATTTGACACATTATTAATCTTTAGAAGCTCATTATTCAGATTCTTTACCAATGTTGTTTTACTAACTCCTCCTGGACCCAACACACCAATGATGCATACCTAAAATATTGATACAAGTACCCAAAAATATATAATTTAGTATAACAATGGTCATATATATCATATTATGCTAACTTCAAGTGAAAAGTTAAAATATCATAATGTCCTTAGAAAGGTGACTACTGCCCTTCTATTTTACAATTTCTTTTGGACAAAAATGTAAATACATTTGAATCATCATCACATATTAGAGAATTTGACTGCGCTTTGCGCGATCGTCAAAAATTAAATATTTTTATTAATTTTATATTTAATCTATTGTTTAACCGTAATAATATTATTTGTTTTAGTAATATGAAGATTGTAATATATTAAATGAGGAAGAATATATTCTTTATCAAATAAGTAATATATTTGCTAATAACAAATTCTTTTATCGCATGAAGTTGATCCTTTAATACGCAATCCAATGGTTAACGAAGCGAGAATCTCTGTTTGAAGCAGACTATCTGAGCAGAAAATTTCCTGAAGAAAAAGGGGATTTTTCTATCTCTCTCTCAAACTCTAAAACGGCTCTCTTGATTTTTCTCTCTTGTGTTTCTGAAAATAAGACTTAAATAAGCCTTATACATGTCACATAATATTGGACTTATAGGCTAAAGTGGACTGGTCCAAATAAGACTTTTATTTTGGGAAAATTTTCAAAATGTCAATATTTTGACATTTTTCATCAAACTTATATTGCTTTTACAAAACAAAATACAAAAATCCAAGTATTGAGAGAGTTCGGATGTAAATTTGGAATCATTGTAGAAGACCGCAGAATTGTTGTCTAACTCATGGATTCGCTTGAAGGTCTGTCTAACATGTGGATTCAATTGAAAGTATCCACTCACGATTCAAGATATAATTCTTGAACTAAATTTCAGCAAGTATATGTGTTCTAGCATGCATAAATCTATGGATTATTTATTATTCATGTAAGCAATATGATTCTGATATGTTTCCGTTGTACATATAATTATTGTACATTCAAATTTAGCACATAATCTTCATTTTCCATGTTTTGTTCTCAAGACAAAAGAAGGAAAACCGAGAGAGAGCCTATCTCACATTTGTGACAGAGGTTTCTCATGTTGTAATATGGTCCATGGTAAACAACTAATAACTTATCCGACAAGAAATTTCACTACCTTAGGACTATCATAGTTTCATCGACCTGCTGTCTAGTTGTAGTTGGATTGCCAGGTGTTCGGAATGCTCCAAATTCTGGTTTATTTGGTTTGACAGAAGTCATTTCTGATTTCAGTTCTAGAGTGAAAAGTATTTTGAATGAAAGAACTTATCCGCATCCGGTGTAAACCAAAACATTTAACTTTAGTAAATAAAAATTATACTGAAAAAAATAATAATAATGTAAATAAAAGTCACACGTGTTGCATTTTTTGGTTTAGTGCAACCACCAGATACATAAAACACGATATACAAATTATAAGGAAAGTAAATCATATGACAGTTAGCTCCGTGTAACAAGTTCTTTTGAATAATTTATAAGTATATTTACAGAGTACATAACCTATAGATTACACATATACACAAGACAATACTGATTGTGATGCTAACTGGCATGACAGTTAAAATTTGGACCATCAACTGTGTTAAAGTACAATGTAGAAAGTTTGTCATCAATTTTGGAAATTAGTTGATGGACAGACAATCCGCAGTACCGCTTCCCTAGTCTAGCGATGAAAATGTCAATTATTTTCTTGAACATGTCGTCTTCTTGGATTAGAGATTGCTCCACAAACTCAACTAGAGGCATCCACTGTATTGCAAAAAGGAAAAGGCAGCTCGAGTAAATGCTAAGTCGCATAAAGCTGCAGACTTGAAGTCTAGCTCAACCTTAAAAGCTAGCTTATGAGATGACGATTGTCGAAAAGTATATAAGGAAACAACATCTCATTTTCCCAACCAATACGGGGTGTGTGTTCCGGGACTGAATAGCTGATGCATGGACACTATGATATGCGGAACCAACATTGTGACACACAAGAATAAGGACGAGTCTAAATCTGGTATAATGTTAAGAAAAAGGGAAAATTTTCAAAACAACAATATTTTAGCTTTTAGTGGGACTCCTTAGCAATAGTTTCACTATTTATTTAAAATGACAATATTTTTAGTTTGTTAAGGGATGAGTTATGTATTTATTTTATTTTGATTAATTTGAAAGAATAAAAATAATTAATAAAAGAATAGAGAAAATCATGGAACATAAAATTTCAAAAAAGGAAAAATGATTTTAAATAAAAATTAGTTACGTTTTGAAAGAGCACACATGTTGCCATTTTTTCTTTTGAGCGTTTTTTTTTTGCCTTGTTCTTAAGAATTCCAAATTATTTTTTTTTGCAAAAAATAGTTTTGTCTTCTGAATCATTCAATTGGTAATTTTCAAAGCTTCTTTGAGTTGAATTCGGCATATTCTTGAAACGAAGGTTTTTAAAATTCACGACTATAATTTCGTCAGTTCCATTGAATTCAAGAAATTTCGACATCAGGTATTTTTGTTTTTGTCAATTATTTTATTTGTTTGGTTGATATATTTGTATATCTCGACTATAGTGGGTTGATTTTTTTTCTGATGAAATCGTTGAAATCTTTGTATGCTTTGATATTTTTAGCTTTTTATGGATGTTTTGTATCCAAATTATGATGTAGAATGATTGAAAGTGCTTGGTTTTTTTTTCTTAGTTTTGTAGTTGTTTTCTTTTTATTTGAATGCATACAATATTTTTGTATCCCATTATGTTAATATAAACAGTAACAATATGAGATTTTCGTATCCCATTTTTTTTGGATGTTTTGTATCCAAAAATGGAATACAATCTATACACCTAAAGATATGTATAACTTAAAATACAAAAAATTATTGGTATAGAATTATAATGAATACAACTCTTTTGACATTCTAGTTTAAGAAAAAAAAATACAAATACAAATTAATAGTAAAATAAAATGATATTGAAAATACATTTTTTGTGAAAACATAAAATATAGAATAAATTGTATTCAAACTAAATTGTATTTATATTTCAATATCCAGTCTTGTTATATTATTATTATTCACTTTAAAATTATAGTTACTATTTGTTTGTATCAGTTTATATTCCAAAAATCAGGATGTATTTCAAACGCTAAATCAATACCAAATAAGTTTGTATTTCCCTTCTTATAATGTATTCATCACAATTTTATATATTATATTTTCATCAAACTTATATTGCTTTTACAAAACAAAATACAAAAATATGTCTTCCTAATACAATTATGATTAAAACTGCAGAGAGTATACACATGAATACAAAAAATGTCTTACAAAAAAATAAAATAAAATAAAAAAGTGTCTTACTAATACAGTTATGATTAAAATATAAAAAACGTCTTGCTAATACAATCATGATTAAGACCTGTATAATATCAAATATAAATGTATTAAAAATCAAACAAAATAAACATATAAATGAATTTTTAGATTCTACTAAATCTGAAAAATAAAAATAAAATCACAAAAAAAATTGAAAAAAATTGGTTTAAAAGACTAAAAAATCTTAAATACATAAATATTTGATGAATATCTAAACAAAATCACATAAATATTGATAAAATTGACTGAAAATCCATAATATATACAATTCAGAATATACACCATAATCGGTAATTTTAAAAAGCAAATCAAAATAAATCTCAGTAAATAATGGAAATTACCTTTGCCAATCGAGAAAATTCTTGAATTAATATAGAGATTTTGTTTAACAATCGAGAAATTTCTTGAATTAAAATAGAGATTTTGTTGAACAATTTGTGAGAACCTTGAAGAAAGAGAAGCTGAAAAAGTGAAAGGTGGGGGAAAGAAACGTAAAAGGTGGGGAAATAAGGGTAATGGGTAGTGGTGTAATTGTTTTTTTCTTTTTAAACGATTATTGGTTTAGAATTTGGTCCAATATAGGACTGATTTGATAAATAAAAGGAAATTTAAATAATAAAATCTGAATACAAATTATTTTCTAAAATATTGTCATTCTGACATTTTAAATAAATATTTTAAAGTGTTGATGTTTTGACTAATTATGTTAGGTATTAAGACTTGATTGCTAATTTTCCCTAAGAAAAATGAACATGACTCAATCTCAAATATTTACCATTTATAGTAATAACATTTTTTTTCACTTGATCACTTTTAATTCATATTACAAAAGAACAATTTATTATTCACATATAATACAAGTTTTATTGATGGATAATACATTTATCACACATTTTAATATACTTATAATACAATGTGTCAACTTCTTACCAAACAAGCATAATATATTTTTAAAAACAGTTATAAAACATATATATTGCATACTTGATTCACTTTTAATACATATTGCAGATTTAACATAGTATTGCTATAAATGGTAATAAATAAAAAGTATGGCTAAAACCAGTAATTATTTATTAAAAGGCACCAATCCAAATAGTTTTTCCTTAAAGAAATTATGAACTTGGCCCATTAACCACCAACTAATAAAAATTAATATTTAATAAATATTCATCAACTAAATAACCATAGTTACACGAATAGTTTAAGATTCTCATTTAAAATTTACGGAAAAAGTCAATATAGTTCGAGTACTCAAAACGACCTAATGGGTCGTTACAACTTTATACACTAAATCATCTATTATATAAGTAAATAGACACATAGATGGATATATGATCTATTTAAATCTTTATTAAAATTGAATATATCTAACCACATAGATAATAGTATATACGCCAACAAAGATAAAGTGTGTCCCAGGAACTTTGGCTATAGACTACAGTGCATGGGTACTTATGCCTATTCTTTAGATTTTATAGTCAAAATGGTTTTAAGTCATAAGTAGATTATTTTTTTCCTATTATAAATATAAGTGGAAATTAAGTTAACAAATTTGAGATGAAAACATAATTTGACCATTGTTGAAACAAAACCTCGTACATTCTTCTATATGACCATTGTTGCATCTTTGGGTATGTGAAATATCCCTTCAGGTTTGCATCATTGGAGTGTGGGGTACGGGAGGAATTGGGAAAACTACATTGATGAAGAATCTGAACAATGAGCTTCTAAAGATTGACGTGTCAAGGCCCAAACTGTGTTTTGGTGTTGTGGTATGGATTACAATGCCCAAACCAGCGGACATAAGTAAGGTTCAAGTATTAATTGCCAAAAGATTAAGCCTAGATGTAGATAAGGAGGAAGGTGAAGAAAGTACTTCCCACAAAATCTATGAAAGGCTCAAGAAAGAAAAGAGTTTCCTTCTCATACTAGATGATGTTTGGGAAGCTATAAATTTGGATCGTGTAGGTGTGCCCAATCCCATCAATCACGCAGGAAGCAACGTTATTATAACTTCTCGTGATTTGGGTGTTTGTAAGAAAATGAAATCAGACACCAAAATGGATATTCACACATTGGATGTGAATGAATCTTGGCAACTATTTATCAAAAATGCGGGAGATGTTGCCAATGAGGTGGATATTGAGCCATTGGCAAAGGAAATTGCAAGTGAGTGTGGTGGTTTACCTTTAGCAATCACTGTTATTGCAACATCTATGAGAGGGAAGTCAAGGGTCGAAATGTGGGAAGATGCTCTAACATCACTTAGAATGTCTGAACCTTGTGACAATAATGTGATACATGATGTTTTCAAGGTCATCAAGTTGAGTTTTGATTATTTAGAATCTCCGGATACTGGAAGCAAAAGGAAAGGTGACATTAAAATTTGTTTCTTGTATTGCTCCTTATATCCCCAGACTGTTCCAATCGATGATCTCATTTGTTGCTTGTGGGCAGAGGGGTTCCTTGGTGAACATGACACATATGAAGAAGCATACAACAGGGGAATCACAATTGTTGAGAGTCTAAAAGATGCCAGCTTGCTAGAAGAAGCTTATAAGGTGGATTATGTGAAGATGCATGATGTGGTTCGTGATGTTGCTAAATGGATAGCTAATAACTTTGGGAATGAACACATTTCTGTTTTTCAAGCTGGAATTGGGTTGACTGAGATATCACATACTACTAAAGTATCAGCTGCTTCTGTCAAGAGAATATCTTTCGCAAGCAACAAAATTGATTATCTACCTGATTGCTTCACGGAATGCTTAAAGACAACATCTTTACTTTTGCAACACAATGAATCTCTTGTGAAAATTCCCGATATATTCTTCTTGTCATTTCCAGCTCTAAGAGTTCTGAACCTGAGT